AAATGTAAGAAAATTTTTTTTTTACCAATTCCTTGTATCATTTTATCTGTTAGGGCGTGGCGTATTATTCATTTTATTTACCGTGTACCTTCTCGTACGTTTACTTTTTTTTTTCATCTTCCTCCTCCTCCTCATTCTCCTCCCCCGCCTCCTCCTCCTCCTCCTCCTCCTCCTCCTCATCTTCCCATTCATATTTCTTCTCCTCGTTTCCACTGTGGATTTATTGGGTCTTAAAAAGTTGCATTGAAAAGAACAATAGGAAGAGAAGGAAGATGGTGAAGAAAGGAGGAAAAAAATGATTTAGATGTGTTACCAGCGGTAAATCCTTTTCAAATCCAAATCGATAATAGTGAATGGTTATTTTCTGGATAAAGTTAGCCTCGAAGATTTACGATTTTGACACAACGCCACATGCGACCTCATATCGAATAATATTTCATTCAACCATTTTTTTTTATACCTCCTCTTCCGTTCCAATTATTATTTATCAATACTATCATTCAAAAAGTACAGGAGAAGAAGAAAAGGAAGGAAAATGAACAAATATGGTATTTATCATTATAATATCATCATTCCAATCTATTTTCATTTTCTTAAGAATATTTAAAATGCGAAAGTTTGAAAAAGAATTATTTGGTATTATTTGTAATTTATGATTTGTTCAAACTTGGGAAATATTAATTGATTAATGCTATACTAATTTTCAAATACTAATTAGAAATACTAACTGATTAAAATAATTGATTAATGAATGATAGAAGGGTATGAAATATTGTTGGTATTATGAGATGAGAGGAAGAAAAAATAAATGAAAAAGAAAAGATTTTTAAATTTGCAAAATTTCATAACATATTTTTCCAGCGAACTTTATAAATGATAGGTTTTAATAATTCCATACTTGTTAGAAATTAATTTATACTTTCGTTTGATGTAATTTTTTAATTTATAAAAAAATAATGTTATTCTGAATTAAAAATGAAAAGCGAAAGCAATTTCATTTTGTCCCAAAACAATCATATATTTTAATTAATGCTTGAATGAATTTTCAAATAAACTCATTAGCTTTTTAGCCGTTTGTATTTTAATAACACAACAAACAAGTAATATTCAGTCAGTTTATTGTCGAAGCAAAAAAAAAAAGACCACACAAAAAAGACCAATTAATAAACAAATCAGTTAAATTATGCAGTTTTCAGAAAAATCACTACGAATAGTTTATCATATAAAGCTAAATAATAACACATATTCCCGCATAAGTTTAATAATTAAAAAAAAGTTCGTCGATCAAAAATCAGATTGAAATTGTTTATATATATATATATGAAAGAATTTCCGACAAAAAAGAAATTCCGATTGATATAGCATAAGATTATTGGATAAGCCAATTAGTGATGAAATTTAATGAAGCAATATAACGAAATGATATTGTAGTTGTTCAATGACCGTAAGGCATATCATTTACAGAAAAAAAAAAGAGTGAATAAATTAGTACCGTTCCGCTCTTACACAAAAATAACATATGGTTAACCTTTTTTAGCATTTTATTACCGTATATCATCAAAATATCCATATATATTATTTGAACTCTTATTTTTCTTTTCCATTCATTTTTTCTTTCTACAAATATTGAGAAAAAAAAAAAGTTATAAAAAGCTAATTTGCAAATCAGCTGTACAACTCTTCAAAAAAAAAGAAAATGATGTCATTTCATACTCTTATAAATAGCTATTTAGTAACAGAATAAATCATTTAAATCTTTATCTTTTCCATTCCTATTTCTTTCTTGTTTTTGTTTCATTCAAAAAAAAAAGAATTTGCAAAAGAAAAAAAAAAGAAAATACAGATGAGATTAGAACATCAAACTATGACTCATATCAATTATCATATCAATTATAGGTTTATCATTTAGTAATAGTAATAATGGTTAATGATAGATTAATCATTTAGCAATAGTAATGGTTCTATTAGGTAAATAAAAGTGAGAAAAAGTATGTTGCAAATATTAAATTATAGCTTATACCAATTATCAGTATAAGTTAATCACAGTGATATTTTTATTAGGTAAATAAACGTTAAAAAAAATATGCGCCAATATCAAATTATAAACTCGATTCAGTTATCAGTATAGGCTAGTCATAATAATAGTAGTAAGTTCTATAAGGTAAATAAAAGTAATAAAAATTCGTTCCACCTCGTTCCTACCAAAACAGTACAATTACTTTCTTACTCTTCTTTTGCTCAATGAATGAATGGAAAATAATAGATCGGTTGCATTAGAAATGAATCGACCGGGGGTTTTATGATCGTCTACTACTGGTGTGCTCCAATATCATTTATAGTACAATATTCACATCCATCTAAAAGAGAGAGAGGGAGAGAAAGAGGGAGAAAGGGCGAGATAAAAAAAAACTACTAAAAGATATTTGTACTTTATAAGCTTGAAATTATATTCACAAATAAGATAATATCAGTGTTATCAGCATTTACAAATGATAGCTTGATAGTAAGGACATTTGGTCAGAAGTGCTTAATATCAATCAATACCACTTAGTAGTAAAAATGAATATTGCAAAAACAATTAATTCTATTAATATTGATTAGCTTGATTTTTTCATAATTTTATTAGTGTTACTTCCAAAACCTAAAAAATACTAAGTGGTTAGCATTATTGTTAAACTTATTATTATTATATTGGATATTATTATTCTTATATTGAATATTATCATTATATTTGAGTATTACTGTTATTATTATATTGAAAATGATAGTATGATTACTATTATCATTATTGCAATTATTGTCGTTATAACTGTTTAATTAATTAATATTGAACTTTTATTTATGTTTGCGATTATGACAAAGCAAAACAAAAAACAAAACAAATCATTTAACAATTATTTTTCAATATTACTTTATCATTTCAATTTTTTTCCATACAATTTGATAAGTTTTTCTCTTTTTCCAAACACTAAGCTCTATTTATTTTTTTTGCTGTTTCAGTTCATAAATTTAAAAAAAAATTAATGCATATTTATTGCTCTGTGATTAAAAACAATCTTATTATTAGATTATAAACTTTACTTCATTTTTACAAGATATTTCATCCATCCAGAGATTTTCGTTTTTCCTGGTGAATAAATTCAAGCAGAAATGAATAATTAAATTTGTGAAATAAATTTTAATAAATTTTGCATTCAATTTTTTCGAAGCATTATTTCACATCAAAAAAAAAATAAAAAAATAAAAGCAAAAATGAAGCAAGCAAAATGTCATAAAAGTAATCAGCTTTAATCGTTACTGTTACATGCATGCGAAGCACAATAATTCTAGCACAATATGCTAATTAAATTAATTTTCACCAAGCATATCAATTCCAATCAAATTTATATTTTCAGTTAAATTCATAGATTTCATATGGAAGATTCCATTCTAACTTACACATGTATATATTTCATTACTTAAAACAAAATTTCAACACTACATTCTAATCTGTAGCTGCCTAGCTCTAAACTGATTAAAAATATAATTACTTTTAACATCAGCAAAACAAACAAATTATTGCATTGTAATTAAAAATAAACTTATTATTACATTATGAACTTTATTTCATTTCCCATCACGATACATTTCATTTATTTAGAGATTTCCGTTTTTCCTGGTGAACAGACAAATAAAAATTAATTAGCTCATAATTTTCCAAATAATTTATTTGGCAGAACAAATGAATTTATACTTATTGTAATTTCAAAATTTTCATTCTTCCTTCGATTGATTGATTAGATTAGCAATTTTTTTTTTTTTTTTTTAATAATTTTATTCGTATAGAAGAAAAGAGAGATATAATGAGAAAAACGGTTGAAATATTGATAAAGGGGAATGAAACGGATGAGGAAATGATTATTGAGAATGAATATTTCAGGAGGATTTTTCAATTTTGAATACGATGTATTGTTGTTGCTGTTGTTGTTATTGTTGCCGGTCAGGTCATATTTTATTGCCGTTGTCGCCTTGAGCTGTCCTCGAGGAATAATGTATTCACAACAATAAATCAACAAAGCTCAATTCGCATATCTTTTCACAGTTTTTGCATTGCTATCATTTTGTATAATCATCATACGATGAAACTTTCCGATGCAAATTACCAAAAATTATAAGCATAATTTGGAATTCATTCCGGAACTTTTCTAATTTCATCACAAAATTAATGATTACATTTTTTTTTTTGCTTCCAATTTAGCATTAAACTTTTCAATTCAAATTAACGGAAATTATGCATACTTTAGGATGCATTTCAGTAAACTTTGTAAATTTACTGTTAATATTTACTCTTTTAAATTTCATTCATTGTTGGAATATATAAAGAAAGGAGGAAAAAAAAAGAGAGAGATGCCAAATTTTGATAGTAAAAATGAGCAATTGAGGAAAAAAAAAAGGAATCGAATGTTTGATATCAAATTTTAGAATTTTATCGTTACCATTATTCTTTTTTTCTTTTAAATTATTTCTTGCAATAAATATATTGCTAGCATTTTGCAAGCGGAACTATTCAGAAATTTCTATTAAAGAGAAATTAACAAATTATATATAAATACACATGTGATTAATACAAAAATATTTATTTAAAGAAAAATATCCCGCAGTAAATCTACGCTAAAAAATGCTTCGACTAAATTTACAGTTTAATTATAAATTAATAATTACATTTGCGATACATTTAATAAACGTTATATACATATGTATAAATGTAAAAGAATATCTCTAATATAAATAAACAACAGAAGAATCGATAAAATGAATATGAATTTATATTTTTCTTAAATTCAATTACTTTTAGATTCCATATATGCTCGAATATTCTTCAACAACCATTGGAAGCCATTGTTAAGCCCTTGACCTGTGGTTGCACATGTTGCACAAATATGCCAATTTCGACCATTTATAAAATTTAGGCCCATACAATCGCTAATTTCCGAAACTAACATTGCACCTTTCTCATCCATTTTATTAGCAAATACAAGAAGCGGAACCTAAAAGAGAGAAAGGAAAAAAATGTATATTGTTTTTTTCGTTCATAAAATAAATTTGAATTAAACTAATCCTTTCAT